ACTAAGAACCTTGTTTCTTTGGCCAAGCGATAACTTGGCACCCAATAACTTACTGCCTCTCCATGTGTGATAAGTCAGCATAGTGCAGAAGTTGCAGCATTGCTAGTTTTTGTGATGTTGCTACAGATTGAGCAATGTTGTATATTAATAGTTTGTATATCCATAGCAGCAGCTAAGGTTTTTGATTGAGGACCTCAGCTTTCTTAAAGATAGTAAGTTCCTAGCCTTCTTGGTTGCAGAAAAGTTTGAAAACATACACTGAATGTGTACAAAAGATGTAGTAGCTAGAGAGAAAAACACACAATTCATTGTATTTAAAAAGAAGAAAAAGCTCATGAACTGTGGAGACAGACCCATGACCTTTGAACACTTGTGGCTGACAGTGCCGGCGTGTAGGCGTCTTAAACCTTTCTGCTGGCTTCCACACGCATGCCATTTCTACTGAGTTAGAGATGTATGTGGTTTTGATTACAAAAGCTTTTCCACTGTGATTAGCTTTCCTTTTAGTCTGGTCTAAGCTTGCTTATGTTCATTTATGACATAAACATATTCCTTTCTTCCTCACCTTAAAATCCCTTTTTAAAATATCCTCAAAAACATCTTTCTTTTAAAATTGTGGTTTAGACGTTATCAAATATTTTGCATACTTAAGTCCTGTGGTGTTTGTCTTAAGTGTTTTAATTGTGATTTTAAAAAAACAAACACCTCTACATACTGCAGAGATGAGGTCTAAAATTTTCCTCATTGGAACTCTCTTAGGAGCTGGGTGAGAGTTGGCAGAGTTGTTCGACTCCAAGCCGTTTAAAAACACGGGTTTCATGTTGCAGTCTCTGTAACCTAGACTTCCATGGGACTCTTCGTCACTATTAATGTTTGCACTTGTCAAACAGAACAAAACAGACTAGGAGAGGAGGCTGTAAGCACCTAAAAAGTAGGTCAATGGGCCAGCAGGTTATTTGGCCAGAAAAGAACAAGTGGCTTCATTGAATCATGCTGCAATTGTTTTTCTCCAGTTGGCGATTGTTCTGCTGTGCTTTAACTTCCTATGTTAATATTTGCATCTGTATTTTATCCACTTAAGATCCTCAGTTAGGTGCAGGGGAAGGAGAAACTTAAATTTTCTAATCAAATAAGAGATAATGCTCGTGTTTTCCATAAAATCCATTAATCAATTTAAGAGTACCATAAGCTTAGTTTTTAGGTCCCAGCCTCCTTTTTAGAATTTAATATGCTTTAAAATAAAATTTTTTGGAAGTGGTACAAGTACATTGTATAACGAATACATCTTATTTTAAGAACAGTAAGCAAGGCAGAGAGAAACAAGATAAAGATGGCAGAAAAAACTGATTTCATGTAACTTAAAAATGTAGAAAATAGCATGCTTCAAGGGAAGAAACTGTATAAATGAAAAGTAATGGTATAAAGAGACTGGAAGTTGGTGATCACTTATATTGGTGCTGAGGATTTTTATGGAAAAAGTACATTTGTGAGGTAGGTTTGGAATACATTCTTGGAAGTGTTTTTGAAGTGTGTTTTGAAAGGAGGAGTTAATGGCTGTGTCCGAGGCAGTAGCAATAATGCAGCCGGGCAACTTTGTTAGTTGCCAGCAGCGGCATTCTACACATTCTGGAGTCTTGAGAGTAGCAATTTTGGAGACTGAGAGAGGAAAAGACATAACTAAGAAAGCCAGTGGAGGCCCAAGTAAGAGTTTCAGCAGAAGAGGTGTTGAAATAATGGTATAAAGATACACTTCGAAGGTAGCAAGTAGAAGTGAAGATGGTATGGGAGATAGTGAATTCAAAAGTAAAAATTACATCAAGATTAAAGATTGGCATAAAATGATAGGTTAAAGCAGAGATGAAATTGTTTCAGAATATCTGTTTTATCAAGAAGAGCTTTAAAGCAAGGTGAATTTGCATAGTGAAATACTTGGGATAGTTTTAGTAAGCAGAATATTGCATTTATAGATTACTCTTGTTGGAATGATTACTTGTCTTATTAAAAAAACAAATAAGTGATCATTTTAAAACTGCTTGATTATAAAATTCTCCTTTTTTTTTTTTGTTTACAGTTCAGAGCTTAATGCTTTTCTGCAGAAGAGGATACATCTGACTCCACATTGTTCTTCAAAGGAACCAGGTTTCATCACTAAGCCTCACACTTTAACAAGTCCCAAAGAGTAAAAGGTAAAATTGTACTCTTGTAATTAATAAGGTTCCTATGGCTGTCAGTCACCAATGCTGAAGGGCTGAATAGCAGTGTCTTTCATTCTCCAGAACATGACTGAATTTGATTCTTAGAAGTAGACATAGTCCTTGATTTCTGCAGTGTTTGCTTTAAACTTGACTGGTTGCATTGGAAGCATCTCTGCAGTCTTAGCCATTGGCATGTGTAAGTGCTGAGAATGCTTGACGTACTGCAAATTCGGATACAGAGACAGAAAGGTCAGACCTTGAAGAGAGAATAAATGCGCTACAGGTGCATTTCCTGTGGTCTTGAAGTTCTTTCAGCTATTTGTTTTGGATACCACATCTAAGTTACTAGTTCTGATGTAGGACCTATATACTGTAACAAGTGAAGGATTTTGTTGAGTTCTAGAAATTGAGCACTTTGTTAAAGTGAAAATACTGACTCTTAAATTCTGATTCTTCATGATGATGTCAGTTGTGTCACAGGTGAAAGTTTTTTGTATTTAGCTGTACATGTATTTTTCTTTTGCATATTAATGGAACAGTGTATTATTTGTTCTACAGATTTTCATATTGCTCTTGATCCTTATAAAGTTAGGTACCAAATTAATTTAAAAATTAACAGAGGGCTAAAAATTTAGTTGGTACATACCTGTATTAGTGCATACTATGTAAGCTAAGCAAAAACAAGTTTCTAATTGGTGTCTTGATTTTAAACTTAATTCTATGCCAGTGATGGTAGTTTGCTTTTACTGCAGAGCAACCTGCCTGTTGTTTGTTTTTGACAAAAATTTGAACAAATGCTTCTTCTTAATTTACTTTCTTTCTGCCATTTCTGGCTGGTTTTCAAACAGTGCAACTCTGTTACTTTTACAAAACTTGGACAATGTGGGGAATTTTTAGTATCATTAGTGCAATTGTTATTTTGAAGAACTGGAGTGAAAGAGTGGTTTGCTTTCAGTGTCTCTTCAGGGCACTAGATTTGGGACAATAAAGGCAATACGAAGTTGGGCCTTATTAATTGAAGAAGTGGGTAAGAGGGCACATGGGGAACTTGGGCAAAACCGCATGCACACCTTGTGATGCACCTTCAAGGAGATTGTGCTTGCAGCACAACTGTCCCAGCTACTTTCCTTCTGCACTCAAGTTATGAAACTTTGTGGGGAAAAATCCTAGTTTTGTGAAGCAAACGTACACAACATGCGCCTGTCATAGATCCTGAGACAACTTGGTGGAAACATAAGCTTTCTTCCTCAGTTTCCCCTTCTATTCAACAACAGGGATACAATTTTCCTGGAACACTTTGCAGACTGTCTGGATTATGGAGTTGCAGCTGACATACTTCTTGTGGTATTATTAACACTTCAAGTTCCACTGGATTTGGCACTTCCAGAGACAAACAAATCCTTCCTTCTCAGAAACTATGAGTCACTGAAGTGACTAAACCCAGCTTCTTTGAAATAAATGCAATACTTTTTTACTATTGATTTTATAACATAGTAAAAATTCCCAAGATCTGCAAGTTCAGCTCATATCAAACTCCCTGCATGCAGTTGTTTCTTAATGACTGACAATGTTACAGTCCTGCTTCTCCCTTTCAGCAGTCTCTGACATCTGACTTTGAATATCAAGGAGAAGGGTTTAATTGCATTGTGTTATCTTTTCATAAACCTTCAGCCTTTACGGTCATGTAATTTGGGGTACCTAAAAGTAGGTACTCGTTGGATTAAATACTTCAATTTTATATTCCTTCTCCCACTATTAACATTTCATTCATGTTCTCTATTCAAAATCATATGTATACCTGAAAAAAACCAAATACTTCCTACTGAGCCTTTGTAATGAATAAATGACTGCTTTAAGAAATGGTTAGGTTAACTATAACTTTCTCACAGTACGGAGATCACGTTCTAATAGGTATCTTATTTCGTTTCACATCTCTATTATAACAATGTGCTCAAGGAAAAAAAATACAGTAATAAATAATAGCTGTAAAATACTGTATCCTGAATGCTTTCTGTTTGCACAATTTCTAAATAGAATGTATTACTACTGAGGAGTGTACTTTCCATCTGTTCAGCCTTCAAAATCATGAGAGTCTTGTAGGTAAAAGTTAAAATAAAAAGTAAAGCTATATCTGAATTCAGAGTCAGAAAAAGGTTTGTATTGGCTTAGTCCAGACTTATCTATCATGAAATTTAATAAAACAATGTTCTCTTCAACTCTGTCATGTAAAATGAGCTATTAAAGTCCAGGTTATGGATGATAATGGAAACTGTATTAGAGAAGGTAGGAGGGCAGAGCAGAAGGTTGGATAGAGGGGAAGATTAAGAGCAGCTTATAGAGCAAATGAAAACTTCACTGTGCTCTAATGAAGAGCATGTTTGTTCCTCCAGAGTCACATTTTGGTGTGTTTTCTTCTCTTATAGGCAAACGTACAAATGTCTACCACAAGACTAAAGTGTGATATGTTATGTTTTTTACCATAAGCACCCATAAAATGAGCTCCATTGCAGACAGGTATGTTAATAGACTCTTAAGAGTTTTGGGGGAATTACTGTTCAATGTTTCCTTTAATAATCTTTTCTTATGGTTAATATATAGAGAATATTAATTTATGCAAAAAATAAGAGCAGTGAGGTTTTGGCTATTTTTGACAAAGTTATTTTGGTAGTTGTTAGGTGTGTTCCTTTGTAGTAATTGGAAATAGTGATTTTTATTGTTTGAGATTAGTCTTAAAATGTATTACTTGTTTTCAACCATAGAACAGCATCTGTGCAATTTGAGTTTATTTTTAATGTTTACTGTAATTTTTTTTTTTTTTTAGTACTTCAATATTTGATTAAGGAAAACAAATACATTTAAACGGTTAATGACACTGCAGATGATGGTAAAGTGACCTGCTAACCTATTTCAAGGGAAAAGTAATAGCTGAGACATGGTTTCTACTTGATTCCTTGAGCTGGACTTTCTTAGCAGCTTAGGTGAACATGTGTCTGCAGTATTCTGTGTATTACCATTTTGAGACTTCAGGAAATGAAACTTCCATCAAATTTACTGAAAGTTAAACCCATTTTAAATAAATAACAATAAAAGCAAAGGGTAAAGCTTTTTAAATACTTGTCTTTCTCAATTCTTTTAGTGAAGTTTTGTGGCATTTCACTGAAACTTCAGCCTTTTGAATATAAAAATTCCTTTTAAAAGCTTTACATTTATGTACCAGCATACAAAATAATTACTTCCTAACATCACTGCTTATTGTAATGTACAATTGCTTGATGGTGATTTCTTGCATTAAGTGAAGGAAACATTAGGATAAAAAGTTAAGGGTGGACACACAGAGGTCAGCGTGGACAGCACTAGACTGAAAGCAGACAGAAGTTAGAGAAATAAAATATGAAAATCCATTACACAGCAGTTATGGAAAACAGAAGAACAGTTTTGACTTGACTTTTAAAACAAAAGAAGATGAAACAAAGGTGTTGTATGAAGTATACTGAGGCATCATTTTGATACTTTAACACCTCTTTAGCAGTACATGGACAGTTGTTGATTGAGGAAAATTTGTGATACTTGGTTAGGAAGCAAATACAATAATAATAATATATATTAACAATATAATATTGAATAATTACCATTACTGTTTAACGTTGTTATTAATTGTATATTTATACAATTACATACATGGATGAAGTATAGCATATTCCTCAGCCCTCTTCCATTAGTGATACTTTAGAATTTAAGAAAAATGTGCTTTCTTACTATAAATATTTCCAGTAATTGTAATAGAAGTTGCCAATAAGTAAAAATAAATTATATTTTTCCTCTCAAGTTTTCAAATGGGTAAGGTAATGTAAATAATCAAGAAGATAGACAAATAAAATTAAGTATTGTTCAATTAAACGTTTGCATAAGGTTGTAGGTTCTCATTACAAATAGTCTGAAAATCCTTTGAGTTGTGTCAGAAATGTAAGGTTTTTTTGCTTTCTATTTAGTAAGTGTCTTGCAAGGAGAACTTATAGCAGACTTGGCTTCAACTAATTGATGATGGTCTTTGCGAGACATCACAGTAGAACAGTGCTTCAGTTTCTTGATGTAACAGAGATTATGAATACTTTTTTTCCTTTGTTGTTGTTGGACTCCACGAGAGAAATTTTACACTTTAACATTTATTTCTTTCAGAAATGATGGAAGCATTTTTGATGGGTTGGTGGAAGAAGATGACAAAGATAAAGCAAAAAGGTAAGTTTTTAAGTTAAAGCTAAAAAAAATGCCCTATACTTGTACACTTGGGCTTATCAAGGAGATTTCTAAACAATGTATTTATAATTGTGGTTCAGTTATTTGTATTTTTGTCAAAGGATGCTATATTCCAAAGGCTTAGCTGCAACCCTCCATGAGAAGGAGGAAGTCATTCTTCAAAAATGGTGTCTGAGATTAGGAGTGGGTGTTTTTGTGATAGTTCTCACAGCAGAGAGGGGCTGTTTGCATCAGGAACCTGGCAGTAGTATAAGAAGGTGACATAGCTGTTATAAAACATTTTCCGGTTTATTTTTCAGAGTGTCTAGAAACAAATCCGAAAAGAAACGTCGAGATCAGTTTAATGTACTTATCAAAGAGCTGGGTTCCATGCTTCCAGGTAATGCTCGGAAGATGGATAAATCCACTGTACTGCAGAAGAGCATTGACTTTTTACGGAAGCACAAAGGTAATTCTTTGTAATTGTTAAAAAACATTGTAAATTCTTAATTATTTTAATGATATTAACTTAGTACATAAAACACCAACAATTTTTGCAGCTTCTTTAAGTAAATTGTCCAAAAAAATACAGAGTTCCCAAAGAAAGATACCTTAAGATCCTAATTTAGGTAGCAGAGATGTAACTATGTTTTTGCTAATATTTTGCAAAAGCCAGTACTAATATTTTTTTGTCCCATAGTTGTTAAAGAAGTCTGTTTCATAAAGAGAAGCATTTATTTTTGAAATAACCTTTAAGTTTTCTGTTGTGGACAGATGGAGACCTTTAGAATATAGTCAGTTTGTAAGACACAAGTTGTCTTTGCTTCACAGGAAAACTGCTGATCCATTTCAGTGGCAGTACTTGCTTTGATACGTAGAGAAGACTGGTTTGAATAGTTGGTTTGTCTCTCCAAGTTCGACATAAAGCAAGATAAATGACTGAAAAAGCTAGTCTGAGGGAACTTAATGCTCCCTCTCTTTATGTTAGGTATCTACACAACTGGCTGCTTTAACAAAGATAAGGCAATAGGGCATTGTGGTCTCCAGCAAGCGTTATTGAGTAGGTTGTTTGAGAAAGGGTGGCATACAGTGGGTGTGCAGACTAGGAGCATGGGTGTTTTTTTCTTCCTTTTAGCTGGAAAACCAAAACCAAACAGAAAGTCTATAAATACTTAAATACTTTTACTTGAACTTTCTAATTTTCAAGACATATCCACTGATGTATAAGCCACTGAGTGTGTGTTTGTTGTTTCTTAAACCCTCATGTGAAATGTCAAAATTTTTAATGTCTTTGAACATCCTTGCTGTGTTTTGTTTCTCTGGTTGTTTGCATCAGCCGATGGTGGGATATACCCAGATATGTTGTACTGAAGTTCATTACAGATCATTATTTCTGTCATGAAAAAATTCTTCCACCAAGTGTATACTTACACATATTGCTGTATTAAACCCTTGTCCCAGCTCCTATACTTGTTCTTAGCATGGCACCTTGTGGTTCACACTGCCAAAAACAAGTTTAAAAATTCAAGAAAATGAGCTCGTTCACAAGTTAACCTATTTCCCTGAGTAATTTCTGACCATGCATACTAATTAGAAGGCAGTAGGGACAAAAGAAACCTCTATTAGGTTATAGAATAAAATAAGTAAAGCTATTAAGTTGGTGGATAGGTTTGTATTTATCAACAATATGTGTATCAATTTAAGGTATGTTAAGGTATGATAAATATTTTTCCATGTCCTAGCACCTCTCTTCCATTAGTGTTATGGTTCAAGTAGCACCAGATGTGTACTGAATAGTGCTGTTAAAAGGTAAACATAACAATTAAAACGGAAAGGGAGGGGGAATAATTTTTGCAAGTGTTCATTGGTTTGGGTTTTTTTTTTTTTGCCCATTAAATATTGATTATGCTGTTTTAATTCTTGAGATACATTTGTCTCATAACAAAAAGAAAAGCAGCGTGAAGGCTCCTTTTCTGTAAAAGTCAGTTCTGTAGGTTCTAAGGCCTCTGAAAATTGATTCTGTTTCAAAATCGCTTTGTCTTCTATTGATGATTCCTATCATAAAATACAGAATATGGAATGAATATGTGTGTTAGCCAGCCAGCAAAATGCTTTCTGAGATTATATTTTTGAAATATTTTGGGGTGGTTTTTTTTTTTTTTTTTAGCATAAAGGCGGAAAAAAGCAGCTCTGGACACTGGTGCCTTTTAGGGCATGGTGCTTTTGTCGTTCACATGGTGGGGCAGAGTGCAGATTTGTGTGACTGCACATATCGTACTAAGGTCTCTAAACCTCTGGCTGCCAGCGCTCACTAGCATTGATCTGTACTTGGTTTACTTGAAAATGTTTTGGACAAAATGTTGGCAAAGGTCAGAAGCATGCTTTGCCTCCTGAGGTGCTTGGACCTGTTTGTTACACTAAAGCAGAGTGCCCTAGCAATAAATGAATTGTTTGGCAATGATTAGCTGCTTTATTGTTGAAAATCCTACTGTGTTCAGCCATCAGGTTTTGATTAACTGCATTGCTTCTGGTTCTTTCTGGACCGCTTCCACATTGGCCAGGCTTGGTACTCTGGCAGCAGCTCCAGATGAACTATCTGAGCTGGTTATTGGCCTGTGTGGATTCTGTTTCTCCTGGGGGAAAAAACAGCAGAGTAAGCACACTGAAATTGTATTACTGAGAGCGCTTCACTTACTAATACTGCCTGTCATCTTCCTTTGAATTTGTAAACAATAGATTTTTGAAAATTACAAAATATTGAAGAATGTTGCTGTTTATAACTGATATTCATACAGCACACAGATAAATGCTACAGATCTTGGCCTAGCTGGCAATTTCTTTTGAGGATGCTCAGTGCTGATGCAGAGTTGCTTCAGATCCATGACTTGAAGGCTGGACGAGTTCAACGTGCAAGCTTGGTTGTGCTTCTTTGTCTGGTATCTAGCTCAGGAACGTCACCTCAGTGTCATTTATCTTTGAATGCAACTTGTGGCATGATTTTTAAGCATTTCTCTAGTTACCATGTAAAACAAGTTTTTTCTGTGTTACTTTGGCTCTGTTTTCCAATATCATACTTGTTCTAATTACGGGGAATGTAAAAACACCCATACTTGTGGTAAGAATGGTTCATTAAAGGCATAAACTTCAGCTTTTCTTTAGTATAAATCCTTTCTATAAATCTTCCATGTCCTTTGACTTCCGCCTCAGTACTCAATATGTTTGTTCTGACTGAAAAGTTAGGCTTGGGGTTATACTTAGGTTATCCTTATTCTCAAGCCCATTCTTACTGCTTTGTGATACCATCTCAAAACAGATAGCAAAAACCTGCTCAATTTCTGTCTTTTGTGAGATCTGATCATTGGAAATTCTGGTCAGTCTTATTTGTTGTGATTTTTTTTCCCCTCTCCTTGTAGCTCTCCTCTTCTTGACAGTTTTGTGCATGACATTGCTATTGTTTACTGTTCTTTTAGTTAAGTCTAAAGCTCTTTCGTTAGGTTTTCCCCCTTCAGTGTGGGAAACAAAGTTCTGAACTGTTCCAGCCCTTTGCATATTTAGCTCGATTCCAGATTTTCTGTTCTCTTTGAGCCATCTGAACTAACAAACTAGCTTACAGCCTTTGTACAAACTTGTCCTTTAGAAATCAAAAACCCTTAAAGACGTAGTTTGGTTCTTTCATTTCGTCTAAATGCTCAATTCATGATTACTTGTTCAGTTGTTCTTACAACCAGTACTTCTGTAATGCCCTTGTTACTCATCAAAACAAGTACTATGTGATCTTGCTTCTTGTTGTTACAGTTATCAGTTGATAAGGAAGCGTCAGCCTTCAGAATCTGGGGTCTGGTTTTGCTTAGCAGCTGTTGTTTCTCTCACCTGTGTATGGGAAGTTAATCTATATATTTCTTCTAAGTTCTACAGGAATCTCTGTTCAAAATTCATCTTTGTGTATGAATCAGACAGTAATTCTGCAGTGGAGTCTGTCGTACAGCTCTTAACAGTCTTTGTTGCAAACCTACTCTTTTTTTAATGTAACCTTATTTCTTTACAGCAAAGGGTAGGTAGAAGAGAAAGGACAGTGAAAATTTTTAGTGCAAAGGTTAGATTGACCAGGATTGGCCAAGATGCTTGAGGATTAGGCATTTTAATGACCTAAACTGTTCCGGAATTTTGGCTTTCTAAATCTTTGAAAACAACACTCTCAATAAAACATTTTATTATAGTCTCAGAGGAAAGAGTATTTTTCTATTGTCAAAATCCATTACTTACTGTCATTGCCTTCAGCATTTCCTTGAAGTCTGGCAGGACTTTAGCACAAAGTGGTAGAAGGAAAGAGAAGGTAAATCTCATTATGACATAGGGGAGAAGGCTTTTACTTCTTTTTTAAGGAGCAACATCTATATGTAATGAATGAACAACGGAGGAGACAAGAGAACTGTCTCCTATTTCCTACTGTGTATATGTAACTTAGTGGGAAAATAATGGCTTTTGGAAGTGTGAATCCTTACATTGTATATATGTTTGATTATAGAAATTACTGCACAATCAGATGCCAGTGAGATTCGACAGGACTGGAAACCGACATTCCTTAGTAATGAAGAGTTCACACAGTTAATGTTAGAGGTATATTATTTCTGTTTTTCTTGGAGTAGACTATTTCCTCATAGGGACTCATTCCATGACAAAATTTTTCAGGTTGGTGATGTAACTTTTTGTTTTCATATTTTAATTGTAACTATACGTTTTCATGAAGGTAAACAGTCAAAATTCCTATGTATACAGTGTAATGTAAAATAGTTTTTCTTTTAACTGCATTTTCAATTACCTAAAATGTGCTAACAGAGGAAGTCCACAGTGTATTTCTGTCAAAGTCAAGTGGATATTTTAAATTATCAACATAAGGAAGGTACTAGTCAAATAAAGAATTATTGTGCATAAATTAAAATCTTAATTATAAAAAAGGCTCAACACATCCCTGTCACTTGTGGGCAATAAAGTGTTTAATTTCTTTGTTTATTACACTTTCCAAAAGTGGTGTGTGAGCATTACTTTGCTAAAGAAGATTACATGAATAGTTGGATTACTACTAGAAATAAAGTTTCAGTGTAAGCTGTCATTTCCTTGGAAATGAGAATAAGTAATTTGTTTCTTGTTGCTGAAACAATTTCTAACAATAATTGAATGAAAAATATTAAACTAAATGAACAAGCACATTTTATTTTCATTCCATAGTTAAACCTGTTCTTTGAGGCACAGATTTAAAAAGGAAAATGTTCTATATTTTGTAGTTAAAAATTTTCAGAAAATTCCCTGTGCTGAATTTCCATATTTTTTCCAACAAGTTGTTGAACTAGTTGTTTATATTTTTTGGTTTTTTTATGTAACTGTTTCTGGCATTTCTCAAGTCCTCTTACAAAATACATGTCCACAATTAGTGACTGTAAAGATACAACAATATGACATAAGAATTTTTTTCAAAGATGTGAGCTTTAAAATTTCCTATGTAGAAATACAGTTCTGTCATACTTTTCTGTTTGGTAGTGTTCAACTAGAAGATACATGTGTTACGTTCAGTGGAAATAGGTTTGAGTTAGTAGACAATAAGGCAGTCAGAATTGTATCTCACAGTTTTCAAGCCCCAGTAAAATATTGCTATGAGTTTCTTTTATTGAGATGGGAATATTGAGATTTAAAATACCAAAATTCATTGATTTCACCGCCTCTTTTCCTTGTTCTTCTCTTACTTTTTCCACCTCTTCTTGCTTTTGTCTCTAGCTCATTTTTCTGAATTTTCTGATATTTAAAATGGTGATGGAATAAAAAACTAACAGGCAGGCAGAGTGGGAGATGGGAGAAACAGTGGCTGGCTGTATATATGGACTGAAGTCTTGCCTCTGAAACCACAAATTGTTTAAGAACAGGACAGAACAGGATGGGAATTGTAATGCTTATAGTGTAAAATCAAGACTAAGAAGTTTTAGTAGCAAAAGGTATCCTCATTCTTATAATAAACTAAACTAAAATTGGTCTAAATTATTTTCCATGTTGAATATAGTTTAACATTTTTAATACTCTCTGTTCCTTCTTACTTAACTGCCCATTATGTTTAATTTCAGGCTCTTGATGGTTTTTTTTTAGCAATTATGACAGATGGAAATATAATATATGTGTCTGAAAGTATAACTCCCTTACTTGAACATTTGCCAGTAAGTACAAATTGTTTTCAATAATACATCTGTTTGTCTATGGATGGTGTTCTGATATGAGTATTAATTAATTGTTAGCCTTTGTGGCATTATAGAACAGATGTATGCTTTGTTATAATGCTGCTGCTTTTCCTTCAGCACAACTCCTTGCTACTGGTGTGTCTCCTATATTAAACATTTCCTTTGGAAATACAGAATGCAGTCGGCACTCTGTTAGGCAGGATTAATGAAGTGCCAGACTAGCATTAGTTTCTCTTCAACATCAGTGAAATAAGGGTTGACTGCAGGAGACCATTTAGAATTCACAGCTATCATAGCCTCTACATGAGCCAGAAGAGTATTGCTAAAGAGCTATATCCTTGGAATTTTTTTAAACTAGTTTTTCACTCCTTTCTTCTTTGCCAAAGAAGTCTTACAAGAAATATGTTGCTGCTGGTTCTGCTAGGTATATACTTTGGGTTTTATCACATTCACTCATCTTTAATCTTGCTGGCATTGGTCTCTGGTAAATGTAACATTCTAGTTTTTTGAAGTTACCTTTAAATAATGTTTTTCTGAAATGAGGCAAATTAGTACTCAAATATGCAAACAATTGATTAGTGAAACAATGAGCTGGTTTTTTTAGAAGAGAGGGACAAGTTATTCTTAGAGGCTAGTTGTCTTACTGTGATAGGAGTATTTGGTAAAACCTTGAGTGGCATATTTAAAAATGATTCTGCAAAACACCAATTCCACTAAGGTATGCATGGTATCAGCTTCAGAATTTTGGTACAGGTAATTGTGACTTAAAGTAGAATTTACTAGGTTCTCTGAGGAACATTTGTCCTTTGCTTTTAGGTGTGATTTGTGTATCCTGGACGTATGGTCTATGATCCCTTTTTTCTGAATACTTAATCAGATGCATTTATGCATATAATCAGTTGTTCAATTTTATTGCATTCATCTCTGTTGTTCCCAGTTTTGTGTAAATAGCTGTTGGACTGATTATAAAATTTATTCATAAAACCAATTGCAATTGGTTATCATTATTGGTAACATAATAACCTATATGATGTAGGGAGGGACTGTCTTTTGTTCGAAGATATTGTTTCAATGTATTGGATGCCACTGACAGGCTACAATGCCCTAGAACAACACCCTGTAATTTCTAATTAAAATGCTCCTCTACTTGGAATTGTTGCATCCCAGGGAGGTTAATACAAGCTTCATTGTACTTTAATGTGTATGTATATCTGCTGCGTTCATGGTGATTTTCACTAAATGGTTCACAGTGTCAAAATGAAGACAGATTAAAGTGAGATTTTTTTTTTTTTTTGTAGAATACTCATGTGCATTCCAGCAGGTGGCTTTGTTGAGTCGGTGATGTTCTTCTGAACTGTGGAACTGTTTTGCATTAAAATAGTAGGCTTTGTAACATTGTATGTCTTGCATTATTTTAATACTTATTAAATTTTTTTCTTTTAGTCTGATCTTGTGGATCAGAGTGTATTTAATTTTATCCCAGAGGGGGAACATTCAGAAATTTATAAAATATTGTCTTCTCATCTGCTGGAAAGTGATTCACTGACACCAGAATACTTAAAATGTAAGTAGTTATTGCGGGTTAACCCCAGTGGGCAGCTCAGCCCCACATAGCCACTTGCTCACTCCACCCAGCAGGATAGGGGAACAGAATTGGAAGAGTAAAAGTGAGAAAACTCATGGGTTGAAATAGAGACAGTCTGATAGGTAAAGAAAAAGCCACATGCACAAGCAATGCGAAATAAGGAATTCACTACTTCCCATTGGCAGACAGGTGTTTAGCCATTTCCAGGAAAGCAGAGCTTCATCGTTGTGTAATGGTTACTTGGGAAAACAAACACTATAAGCATAAATGCCTCCCCCTTCTTCCTTCCTTCCCCAGCTTTTATTGCTGAGCACACTGTCATATGGTATGGGATATTCCTTAGGTCAACTGTCCCGGCTATGTCCCCTCCCAGCTTCTTTGCACCCCCTGCCTACTCGCTGGCAGAGCAGTGTGAGAAGCAGAGATTGCCTTTGCACTGTGTAAGCACTGCTCAGCAATAACTGAAATATCCCTTTGTTATCAGTGCTGTTTTAGTCACAAATCCAAAGCACAGCACAATATGAGCTGCTGTTAAGAAAATTAACTCTATCCCAGATGAAATCAGTATGGTAGTTGTGTTAGAAATAATCTGCTTTGTATCACGTGTGATCAGTTCTTTTCTTCCATTGGTATTTAAGCAGAAACATATGGATGAGCCCTGAAGAAAAGCAGCACTTTGTAGGGTTTTTTTTTCCTCCTGAAGAGTAACATTTTCAGCATTGCATTGCATGTCACTGACTTTCCCATGTATTAGAAATGTTCGTCTTGTTTATATAGCTTCTAGTTAGACAGTCATAGCAGTTGGCAAGAATAAAAACAAAGCAGCCTAATGGGTTTTGGAAGTGTATGCTTTAGTAAACTGAAGTTTAGGGCAGCTGCTTCTTCAAAATAGCTATAGTTTTGGGGGAGTTTCTATGTCTTTAGCATTCAGGCCCTTCATGCACAAATTCTAAAGGAGTTCTCCTTTTCTTTAGGTTAGCTAGTATCATGCTGGTTAAAAGGAGAGGCTGTGTAGCCATTTATAATCACAACATTTACAGTATCTCAATAAGTATGCAGCTTAATTATTCATGCTTTCCATTTCATGTTGCCTGTGAGCTTCATCAAGCATGTAGCCTTTTACTTTTTTTATTCTTTTCTCAGCAAAAAATCAACTAGAATTCTGTTGCCATATGCTGCGAGGAACAATAGATCCAAAAGAGCAGCCTACATACGAGTATGTAAAATTCATAGGAAATTTCAAGTGTTTGAATAATGGTAAGTAATTTCAGCTATGTTAGAGTGGAATACTTAGGCAGCTTCACAGCTAAACAGGCTTGGGACCATTGTGCAAACTTAATGACGAACTAAAATCAGTCTTTCAATAGAAGAGCTTGAAGTAGAGTTATAGCACTTCTATTTTGTTTTAATGAAAATGAAGAAAAACTGCCGATCATGTATTACACATCTGTGCACTGGAATGCAAATTGTAGTAATGATGTTTAATGCTTTCAATTAAAGAAAACTAGTATCTTGTAAAACATTTTTTAAAAGAATGTAAGAGAAATTTAAGCAAACACTTTAAATAGCCTGAATTTAGTTAAGCATACTTAAATAGGTGACTAAGTGACTCGAAGATCAGCGGTACCGAGTACCTGCAGTTCTCATTATGCAGTGAGCTGGGAAGTAAAATGTTTTTCCCCCCATTTCAGTTCTGTGCTTTCACTGACAGAAGTTACCACTCAGATGAGTGGATGGGCCGTTAGTTTTCTGCACTGAGTTCCTTCTCCCTTCCATTGATTTTTATTAGTTATGTACTAATGTTATTGCTCTGTACTACATCTCTAATCTGTTTGGCCAGCCTGTGCTGACTGTTTACTTGAAAGGCATGTTTATTTGGTCAGCCAGACAAGTGGGTTTTGTAGTGTGGTCAGCAGTAGATCTTCATAAAGATTACCCACAAAAATATTATCAAAAACAGTATCTGGTAAATAAACATATGTTTTTTTTTTAATGTGATACCAGTATTTTTCTCACAAAATGGGGAGAGGTTGAGTCTTAGTGCCAAACGCAGATATGTAATATTATAGGAAACACAAGACATAGGCCTGAAAAGGCCAATTATGGTGCTAGTCTTGGAAAGAGGAGTAGTTGGGAAACTGCAGACCTATGGGTTGCAATTCAATATTGGGAAATATTCTAGCACAAATAATTAAACTATATGTGAGCCTTAGGAAGCTAGCAAGGCATTGAATAGCAACCACTGTGGATTTTTCAGGTAGAAATAGCATCAAGTCAATTCAGTGTCTCCCAAAAAGTAACATGCTGTGTGAATAACAGGACAAAGCGCAAATAAATGATGGCCTTTTATAATATGCTTCTGACAATTATCACATTCTGTTCTCACAAACATGTAAGGGAAGCACATGTTAATTGAAATTGGTGGAGAGTAGCTGCAGAAACTGGTTGGAAAGGTTGTCAGTGTTCACTGTCAAAACAGTTTTAATGGGCTACTACTGGCTTTGATTTTCAAATCAATTAATTAATGTTACGAATAATGGAACGTAGCTTGCTGTCATGAAATGATGCAAGGACACTAAAAACAGGGGATTCAGATGCAAATTTAGAAGATATTTTGGGGGAAAAAAAACAAGACCAATTGACTAAGAACAAGTACAAGCTACTACATTCAGGAATAATAAATGAAATATATGAATAAATATATGAAAAATAAATGAACAAGGAAAAAGGTTACAGTCAGCTAAAGGACTTAGAAAATAATTTTTAGAATGATTTTCTTTAGAAAAAGGAGTTACTGTGGAATGTAAACTGAACATGACCAAGTCACCATGACCAATCACCAAATTGCAAAAATGCAAAAGTCTTTCTAAAATATAGTCTAAACCACATGAAATAATCCCTCTGCACTTCTTAGCACCCATATGTCCTTATCCAGTTTTTGACACTATTTGTGGGAAGAAGGTAAAGCAGTGGAAAGAGTTCAGAGTAGAGCAAGGAGAGCAAAAAGAAATTTAAAAATCTAACTTAAAAGGCAAGATAAACATTGAAGAACAAAGGAGAAGGGATAAGATAAAGAGGAAGGAGATTACCTGTTTTCTTTCTGATGGAAAGAGCTGTAAGCTTAAATTGCATGAAGAAACTTCAGCAGAAGTTCAAATCTACAGTTGAACTAGAACCAGTTAGGCTTGTAAGAGCCTGAGAGCATTGTGGAGTCACCATCATTAGAGCTTAATAAAGATAAACTAAATTGATATGTTCTGGAAATAAAAGATAAGGTTAATCTGCTTTGAGATCTAGTCCATCCTTTGCCCCCTTGTGATTCCCTCCATCTCTGTGATTCAGTAAGTGGAATTTGTTTGTTTTCAGCTTGGTGTCCTGATTCTGCCATGCCCATAATTGTTGTGCCTTTGACTGTTTTGTTACTTAGTTTTGTCTTCAGCTTGTGTCATTTGAATGTGATGGAAGTCTAAAAAAGAAATACTTACCTCAACATTCAAAAGAAAAAGCTAAAACTGATACAAAAGAGAAACTTGAAAGATATTTTTGAAGATGTATTCCAGTCATTTTTAGTAGTTATGAAGAGGGATTAGAATTGTTATTAGTTTCCTAAAACTGCTTTGTCAGAGATAATATCATCTTAAATGTAATTTTAGGTCTTTGAGAAAGTTATTTGGTGGTTGTGTTCCCATTACTACTGTACAGCTACTATTCCTGTGTATATATGTCTATGTATTATATGTAGCATTTTTCTTAATGCATGTTAAGTTATAAGCAAACCACTTTAGATAAATATTGGGCCATTTGTCCTGTAATATTACTGCCATTTTCCTCCATGCTTGTGTTGTAATCTGTGTTGACCTCATCTGTCTTCTCTCAGTTCCTAACTCAGCGCACAATGGTTTTGAAGGAACTATTCAGCGATCCCACCGGCCTTCGTATGGAGACAAAGTTTGCTTTGTAGCCACAGTTAGATTAGCTACACCTCAATTTATCAAGGTATGTACAAATGGAATAACTTTTATATCATTTTTAAATGTACTGTGAACAGGAAAACTTCAAATACTATTAATGAAAACCATAAGGCATTTTATTACATGAAACTGAAGGTGTCTGTTTCTTACTTCATGTACAAATAGGTTAAACGTTAAGTATCAAATGAAGTTCCTATGGTGAGTGCCATTTCTAAATAGTCATATAAAATAGTAATATGCAAGAAATAAATTTAGAAGTCCATAGGAATATGTTTACCAAGTTTAACTTAAACACACAATGAAAGATAACACTGAGATCTCACTTTCACTGGAAAAAGGAATAATTTTAGTTGACACTTGGATGTGAATTTTACGCTGCTGATGATCTTGTAGTTTGACACAGAAGCAAATCTTCTAGGGCTTAATGAAAGCTTGAATTATTCGTCAGCAACTGGGAGCCAAGTTTGAGTTAAAGATCTTCCATTTTGTTTCAGTACTGGTTGTTATTCAATAACTTGGTTGTTTGAAGAGAGCGTTTTGCTTAACTGCGAATGCACAGTCAAGGTATCTTTATATGTTTAGAATTGGATATGTGTGAAATTTAAAGACTTTACTAAGTATAAGCCCATTCCTCACCAAAATGAATCAAAATAAATACTCAGGATACAGTATAGGATCGTCTGTGATTGTGATTCAGATTATATATTTTCTACGAATACATTAATCAAGGTACAGGATAGTCTACAATCAAACACTTGTTTTTACAATTCAGTTTTAAAGAAATGCCATGAAATGTATATGCCACATGATTAAGCTGCTGTCTGTCATGCAGAACTTTTTGAACATTTAAATACTCTGCATATAAGTTGAATGCACTAGTGTCTTAAGCTGAAGATTGTTGGTGGTATGCTCTGAAGACATGGACTACATACTTTGCACTTTGAAAATGTAGTACGGAGCCTGTGGAGAAATCATATAAACTACTTCAGTTCTGCCAGGCTGAATAGGGGTTAGATCGCTTCAGACTGCACGCCAGAGAGAGTTTGTTGTTTATTTTTCTTGAAGCCCTGGAAATCTTTCATCTGACACTTTTCTTCCCATGCTGGTCTAAATAATGTTCTTCCTGTTATGCCTACAGTTGGTAGAGATGTTAGATGTGTGGGTTTTGTTTCATGAAATACTTGGGGAAAAAAGACCAACCCGGCAGTATTTGTAAATATTTTTCTATTTTAAAGTCTGACAGTTTAGAACATAGTATAGTAAAACTTTTGTGTTTCCTACTTCTGGAACAGGACATTTGGAAGTTGAGGAAGATCCATATATGATCTTTCAGGTCTTTCAGTCTCCTGAGGGTGAAAGCCTTACAGATTATACTTTGGCCAAACTTTCAGTTGTCTTTACCTGAACTTCTGAGCCCCTAGTGCCCAAGGAAGCTTTCACGTTGCAGAGGTTTTAAGATCCTCTGAAGGGTGTCGACTAGTGCTGTTTGTCTGAGAAATATTCTTGTAAGAAGACTAATATTAGAATGAAGACTTTTAATCTGACAATACTTGTTTATATTCGTTTCATACCTTATGTTGTTACTGAGGCTAGCATTGACTAGACTCCAGCAAATCACTGTTGTGTCAGGAAATTTACCATCCCAGTAACTTTATTAATAGTTGCATGTTGCAGCCAGTAATGAGAGGTATATTTCAGTAGTGGATTGCCTTATTTAAGGTACAACCTACCTGCTCATCTGCCACTTTTTCTCTTTATTTCAGATGGTATACAGTTCTGGTTTTTGGTGTGGGGTTTTTTTTTACCTAGAATGTCATTTCTCAATGATACACAGTGCTTTTGCAGAAAGCCGTAGTATTCAGGACAATAATCTCTGAAATTTCACTTTTTTATTTTCTGCATATGACCGCACCACTTTTGTAACAAAATGTGCCACAAATTTTGCTTCCCAGTGAAGGGATTTGGCTCTACACATTCTTTAAAACATTTGTCTTGCATTTTGTCTGGTAAATGATTGAATCCTATCAAGAAAGCATGATTTGTCCAGCCAAAAGGATTCTACAAGAATACTTTTTGTTACGAATTAAAGTCCTTTCTTTTCTAGATGCCTTGTTGACAACTTCAACAAGATGCTTTGTTGAACAAGATTAGCTTCTGCCCAGGGGTATTTTACAGTGGAATATCTGTAAATCACTAATATAAATGCATTGAGTAATCAGATACTAACCTGCTGCCAGCTCTTCTCTAACAATGGTGTTTTCACTGTGATTTTACTGCCTGCACTTAAGTTACTTTTACTTTTGTTTTGACTTGTGTCAAAATAATTAGATTAAAAGAAACAACAAATCGAAAGTATATCTCAAGGATATATGCTTGCTCTGTCATTTCTTTTACTTTGCTGTGAGTGGTGCTTTATTAAATGCTGTAATCTTAGGGAAGTAGATGAGCTCTGGGTTTTAGGGGTAGTTTCAGTTTTGAAGGTTAAGTCTTGCTAACTGAAAGTCACACCAAGAGTCACAGATTTGTGCCCAGAGTGATTTTGTTCAATACCTCCATCGTATAACTCACTTTCTGGTCATTGTCTTTAGATTTTACACTGATGAAGTGGAGGAAAAAACATTGCCTAGATATGTTAACTTTTATCTTTCATAGAAAGAAAATTTAGAAATACCTATTCAAAGAACTGCAAAATATCCACTTAAACTCTTTGTATTATAACCTGAAAGAATGAAAAGGAACAACAATTAGTCTTCTACCGTATTTTTTGACAGGGCTATTTTAGTTACAGATGTTTGCAGAGCAGCAGTATGCTCATCTGCCCACATGTGTCATGAATACTATGTCAGTGCAGCAGCGGCTTCCATATTGTCGTCTTTAGGAAACTGTTGTGGTATCTGGTCATCAATCAATTCTGCTGTGTTCCTGGCAGTGGGAACACCACTGCAAGCTCCTACAAGTGTCACAAAAGTCTGCAGGTGTCCAAAAAAGAAAGCTTTACTGATTTTTAATTTTATTGTAATTCTTTGAGGGATGTATTTGTATATATGCATGTAGTCCATCCTCCATCTTTCTTCTTGTAAGGCAGTACTAGAGGAGTTTGCCAAAGAACCGACTGGCATCGGGTGCTTGCTGCCTTGCTGCCTCAGCATGAGGCACAGTACTTCGTGGGGCATCTTTACCTCTCTGAAAGGGGACAATAGAAATTTACTGACACGCACTGATCGCCCATATGTCTGAGCGGAATACATCTAAAATGACATGCAGAATACCTTGAGGGTTTGTTGTAATTGTGGAAATACAGTAATTCTCTTACTGTTCATGAGTTCTAAACATACGAATAGTGTGTTATTTGTAGTACATGTCTGTGCCTTCAAGGCAAAGTGATTTTTAGGGTACCTTGTACTCACTAAAAGGAAGAATCATATTCCTAAAGTCAAAATAACGTGACCATCTTGCTAATGTTGGTTTTTACCCATTATAAGCATATACAGTAATCAGAGTATCTGCTGAGAGTGTTTCATCTCTTCTTTTGCTTGTTAGAAGTTAAAACCATAACTGCAGGAACTATTGATTCCTGCTTGTACTGCTGTGTTTGTAGATACTGAGTCTGAGTTTAATCTCATGCTGGAGTTGTTCCATTTAAATCAACTGGGTGTCAGCCTGGCACAGCTGAGATTAGATTCTACCTCAGTACTATGCATACAAACAAGCAAAAACAATGAAGCGGTCTAAAAATAACATTATAACTATTGTGGATTTATCTACTAACTTTAGGTAAGTCTGAATTTCAAAAGAGTTTATGAATTAGAATAGAGCAGTTTTGAGAGAGATTTTTTTATTTTTTTACTTTTTAGGAAATGTGCACTGTTGAAGAACCCAATGAAGAGTTCACATCTAGACATAGCTTAGAATGGAAGTTCCTATTCTTGGATCACAGGTGCAATTCCTTCTATGTATAGCAGCAATAGTAGCTGAATCACAGTGGTGTCTGTAATATTTAGAGTTCACTAATCGGCATTAACTACTCATAGCTTGTGTTGGGTTTAATTTTTGATTTTTTTCAGAGCGCATACTGTAAACAAGAAAAGTTATAATGAAATAATTTTGGGGGATTTTTTTGTGTGGAAATAAAATGACATTATTTTTTGTATTAATTAGGGCACCTCCGATAATAGGTTATCTTCCATTTGAAGTTTTGGGAACGTCAGGCTATGATTATTATCATGTGGATGATCTAGATAATCTGGCAAAATGTCACGAGCATTGTGAGTACAACTAAGTTGCTACGATGAACAGGTTTGCTTTATAGATGTCAGTTTAAAGTTTGTTAAATTGTACAAATTTTGTAGTGAAATTTTGTGATACATTTGAGTGAAGTGTCTTTACTTCCCTTCATTTGACATTATTGCACTGCTGATCTTCATCTTTTTTCTTTTGATACAGAACTACAAAACAGATTTATGTTTATCTTGTAATTTAGAGTCTTCATTGTGGTAAATTGTATTGCACAGCACTGTGACTAATACTTCTCCAGTTCTTCCAGTAGCATTTAAAAGGCTCTGTGATGTTTAATAAATGCAAAAATTGTTTAAACATGTAATAGAATAAGCTTTCTGTCTAGCTATGGTTTTCTTTATGAAGCTGTACTTAAATTTTTTGCACATAAATTTTTCAGAATATGTAAAAAACAAAAACCCAGAAAAATGGAAATTTGAATTCTGCAGTTCTCTGAAAAATGCAGTGTAAATTTTTTTAAAGAAGGCTACACTTTTAAATCTGTTCATAGTCATTGTTATAATACTGGATTTGGACACGGTTTTGGGCCGTATGAAGCTAGGAAATAATGTTTATTATGTAATTGCAATATTTACAGACTGGAAAGGCAGTAAACTTTATTCTTCGCTTTTATAGTAATGCAATATGGGAAAGGGAAGTCGTGTTACTACAGATTCCTTACAAAGGGACAACAATGGATTTGGCTGCAAACACATTACTATATCACGTATCACCAGTGGAATTCCAGACCAGAGTTTATTGTCTGTACGCACACTGTTGTAAGGTAAGTTATCTTTTAAAAATCTGTATTGGAAAAATTCTAATGGCATGGGAGCTGGTATTTTTGGAGGTAGAAAAATCATAGCAGTTTAAAGAATCGTTGGAAAACTTCCTGGGGTACTTTGTAAGCAAGGTACCTGTGAGGAGTTTGTTTTCTGAGGTATGCTTTTTAAATCATCCAAGCATATAGTAGTCATATTTGGTTTGTTCTTCTAGTTATGCAGAAGTTAGAGCAGAAAGACGGCGAGAACTTGGTATTGAGGAGTCTCTTCCAGAGATAACAGCAGATAAAGTGAGTGTCTTGTATAATTTTATCTTACCTCTTCTTTCTTTCATACTGAAATTAATATGTAAGCAAACACACAGCTGCAAGAAATGCTTTGTCCTGTTACAGGTAAAGTAATTACTTTGATCTCTAAACAATATGACTATTATAAATGATTAAAGAAGTCTAGGAAGGGTGTTTGTTTAACTGTATTCTGCCCTGAACACTTACCCTCCTCTTTTCAGGAGTTCTTGTGCATGTAGTTATAACATGGCAGCATCCATAAGTCCTTATTAAGATCTGATTCCTGCAGAGTTTGGTTCATAAATAAATGTTCTTCCTTACTGGAAGCACCCATAATTTGAAAAGCCAAGGTCAACACACAAAGATGGTTTAAAGGGATTCAGAAGAGGAAAGCAGGACCTGTTCCATTGTGTGACTGTCCCACTTCTTAGAAGTATACAAAATTCATTTTGAATTAATGTCCTTGAAAGCTCAGTGAGTCTTAGATAAGCCACCTTGTGCAGATGCTCTGTGGTGTTTTCCCTTGGCAGCAAGTTTCATTTGACAGTGTTCCTTTTAGTGGAATTAACTCATCCTTCCTCAAAAGAATAAGCAGTTCACTTACTATGCACATGTTCAGAGTGAATTGAGTTGCTAGAGAAGGTCAATTCAGCAGTCAGTTTGTGGCCTGTGTCTTGCATGCATTTTGGTTTCTAGGCTTGTATGGCTTTGGTTTGGTCTCTTTTCCAAGGATAAAAGCTGCAAATGGAAACTGAGCTTGCAGATATCAACCAGACCACTACTTCTGTACAGTCACCTGTGTAAGGGGGGGTTGATTAAACACAGCATAGTCTTAGATATTTGCTAACAGAAATGTACATTGTGTGCTGAATTGGATAAAATAATTGTTGTTTGTGTGTGTCTCTTCAGAGTCAGGACTCTGGGTCTGACAATCACATAAACACAGTGAGCCTCAAAGAAGCACTGGAAAGGTTTGATACCAGCCCCACACCTTCTGCTTCCTCCAGGAGTTCAAGAAAATCTTCACATACTGCAGTATCAGATCATTCATGTAAGCACCAACTGTTGAAAATTGCCTTCCTAATGAAGGCTTTTTCTACTTTAATTAAATGCATAACTAGCATTTAATAATAATTTTGTGAAAAGTGTTCGAGTAAAAATGTCCTTTCTGATGGTTCAGAGATCTGCTGACCACTCAGATTTTCAAAGGTCATCTAGTGACTTCTACTTCTAAAAGTACAATAGCAGCCTATTTCAGTCCATCAGATTGCTTTATTGTTGGATAGTCTGGGTGAAAAAAAGAGTCCAAGCCTTTAGCTTTTTTTTTGTTCATTAAACGCTTACTGTGGTTTGATTATCGCCTTGCAGAATTGAGATTACTGTTAACATGCCTCTTTCTGTTGTAACTCTGTATGTTGTCAGCAACACCAACTAAAATGACGGTGGACACTAGCACTCCTCCAAGGCAAAGCTTATCTGGTCATGAAAAGACTGCGCAAAGACGATCATCTCTGAGTAGTCAGGTAACTCTTCAGAGAAAAATTTTGTACTTTATCAGTGTAATTCACCATTAAAAGGTATTATTAAGTCCATATGACCATTGTTTTATTTTGTCTGAAAATACATAATTTAAACTGTAACAGTTTTACTTGGAATATGTGACTATCAGAATTGTATCATCAATATGCGACTTGGGTATACTACATTTTAAGGGAATACAATAATTACACATATAATTATATATTTTTTGGCATTAGGGTTTGCAAAATTGTGTATGAATCTGCTTTCACTCATACATAACTTCTTTCTATGATTCTGCATTTTTAATATATATGTATATAAGCAATTATATACATACATATAAAAAATTGCTGATATAATGCTGCGTATCCCTATAGAGAATTCATATAGATTTATGACTCTGATAATATTTGTGAGTACTTTCATATAGTTTCTGAAATCTTGGTGACATAAGAAAATGTACTTTATGAGTGTATTTTTCATGTTCCAGTTGAACTAATACATTCACTTCAAAAATAGAGTGTGTATTAAATACACATTTTTTAAAATTACTAGTTTAAGAAAAAATTGAAGGTGTCAACTTCCAAACTGGTTGAAAAAGTTTTCCCTTACTACAAGTAAAACTTTTTAAAAAGTTGTAATTGTAATTACTGTTTTTTCCTGCTTTGTATCTACTGTTTTTATATATTTTTAACAGTGGAAAAGTTGTTTTTTAAATATATAATATGTATATAATCAATTGCTCTTGTGTCCTTAATTCTCTAATATTTAAAGTTAGCTATTTCAGGAAATATTTGTTTTTATCATATGTTCATATGATGCAATTTTGGAATTGACACTTCAAGTAAAGAAATATTTCATGTCAAGTACGAAGTTCATTCTCTTCCAGTTATGGAATAATTTTTTTAAATCCTAGTCTTTAAGCTCCCAGTCTCTTGGACAACCAGTAGCGCAGCCGACGATGTCTCAGCCTGCAACTTTACAGCTCCAGTCTGGCATGTCCCAGGTACGGATTAAGTTGGTGTATTGTTTATTTTTTAAACAGTCTTGTTCTGAATATAAGGTTAAAATCTCTTTCAGAAATTGAATTCTTGGGTGCCAAAGTCACCTGTATCATTATTCTCTTGAAATAAGCAAATTCCCCAATTTGACACTTTTCCTTTTTTTTGTTTGTTTTTGGTTTTATTTTTGTGGATATAGTTTTCAGCCTTGGCCATTAGAAACACAGATAACACCAGATAAAATATTTTAGGATATGAATTTAAAAATCCATCTACTATGCTGTTAACTTTCTACACGTATGCTTGTAACACAAGGCAACTTAGTCTACGAAATAGTTTTGTGAAATAGGAACAGCAGTATCAGGTCCAACTGAAGATATATGCCCTGTAGATGGGATATAAGTATCAAAAGGTTGTATTGACTCGTAGCCCACAGGACATGTCTAGGGAAGAATAGAAATGGTAAACAATTTCTTGTGGGCTGAGCCTTCAACAGTTTGTGACTGAGGGTATTCCCAAGTTATTTGCATATGTTTTAGCTCTAGGTGAATTTTTTTTGGTAAACTGGTAACAATTCTAATTTTTAACCTGAGAGCTTCAACATCTGCAGTACCATGTAAATTATTAAGGCTTTTCATAGACTCTTGGTGATTTTGACACCAGTCAATTTCTTTTGCTATGGAACTTTTTTTTAGTTCAATTCTGGTGCATCAGTTAAATGTGACATCAGTTAAATGCGAGTTCTGTGACATTTTCACACTAATGAATTTGTCCTCATATTATGGTTATTAGCTGTTTTAAAAAGCAGTGCTTGATTTCTTTGCTACTGTGGAGGAGTGTATTTACTGCTTGTAAATAAAATTTCATTATTTTTACTCAGCTTTTAATTTATTCATCGCACTACAGCCTGTGTTTCAGTTTTCAGCTCAATTAGGAGCTATGCAGCATCTAAAGGACCAGCTAGAGCAAAGAACACGCATGATAGAGGCAAATATTCATCGGCAGCAGGAAGAGTTGCGTAAGATTCAAGAGCAGCTTCAAATTGTCCACGGTCAAGGACTCCAGGTGAGTTAGCGTAACTCTTACAGGTTTGATCTGTAGAGAATTTAGGCATCTAAAATGAGACTTGGGCACTTAACTCTACAAGTTGATCCTCCCTACCCCCTGTCAGCTGCCACCTGGACCTAATGTGCATAAAATCCATAGCCTCTGAAGCTATTGTTCCTGAGATACCTGCCACTGGTAGGCCCCAGTGTATCTTGATATTGAGCAGCTCAAGCCTAGCTTATGCCTAAACCTAAATGTAAAAAGATGCAGTGGTTATTACTTCTTCCATAGTTTTGCAGCCATTACAATATTCATCCAAAATGTGCAAGATAAGCATTTATTTCCCCTTTTATCTGAAGTGTGTCAAATTCATACCTTTTGTTTCTTAAACAGTCCTAACTATCAGGCTATGGTCCTCTTACACACCTTCCTGGTGAAGTGGTTCCACTTTGCATGGTATATACTGAAGTAGATATTAAGCCAAAAAGACAAGAAGTCAAGAGGATGCATTACTCGGTCTAGCAGCTGACTACCTCATTTCTGTATTTTAACCAGTATATTTTTTTCTAATTTTGTCATTCTCTTTCCAGCAGCTATCTTTGGAAGACAAAAAAGATCCTATTGGGTTTTTCTAGTTAAACAAACAAACAAAAAAACCCAAACCAAAAGACTAAAATACACCTTAAGGAAAGAATACAAATTTTTAGTGAGGACTGTGAATAAAGAGTAGAAAAATGTACTTTCTGGAAGTATTGAATATGTTGACTGAATTCTGTTGAAGAGTAGGAGTTTCTGGCATGTGCCATTTTCAGTGTTTTATCTTGTCTGGGGTAAGCCTGCCAGCAGTAGGCTGCCTTATAGATGCCTCAAAATGAATGATTCACAGCTTTCTTCCCATGCACTGTGGAGGGACCTTATTCAGGACTGTGGAAACTAGTGAAAAATATCCAAGTGCTGCACATTCTACCTTTTTACCCTGCCTTGTTGCAGTCTTGGGCCTAAGTTTTTGTAAAGGCTCAAATATTGTTGTGCTGAATTCAGTTTATTACAGTAATGTTGGAAAATTCAGTATAATAATTATGATTTCTTTATTGCCAAGCAAGATTATGTTCATGGTGCTATGCATGGATCTGTTGATTCTGAGATTTTCTTCATTTGAACTAGTTTCACTGCTGGAGATCCTACAAATAGAAATGTGATTTCAAATACATTTTGTCTTTAGACAGTTGTAGACTTTGTTACAAGTTAGTCTCTAAATAGTACTTTTTCTTTAAGAACATACATAATTTTAGATAATTTATAATTTAAATCTTTAAGAACAATACTAAACAGTGTTTAGGGCTCTAGAAATCAGGATTCTGATTCTTATTGGTTACAGTAGAGTCTCTGAATACTGACGTGATATGGGAGTCTTTATCTTATATTGATTTAAAAGAATTAAGTTTAGTTTCTCTAAAACATCTTGAACAATCAATTAAAAGCTAACTTGTGGTTTTTTTTTTTTTAAGATGTTCTTGCAGCAATCAACTTCTGGACTCAACTTTGGTTCTGTACAACTTGCTTCTGGAAATTCTTCAAATGTTCAGCAGCTTACACCAATAAACATGCAAGGTCAAGTTGTTCAGACTAATCAGACTCAAAGTGGGATGAACACAGGCCATATAAGTACTCCCCACATGATACAGCAACAGCCTTTGCAGAGTACTGCAACACAGGTAAAATTGTCATTATTGATTTTGCTGAATAGAATATGTACTCAAAACTATAACTGAAACACAACAATAGCTTCCCTGACAGCTGTCTCCCATTTTTTTTTAAGTGTCCTTTGAATTATATTCATTTCTTCATGTTCCAAGTTTTACAATTGAAGTGCACTTCTTTATCTTGCTAGTGCACTTTCAGATCTTGTTTTTATTTTAAAACTTAGGCATATAAATAATTAATAATAAGTAGCTTTTTTGAACGTCCAGTACCAAGAAGACTTTTAGCTTGCCTTTTTTGAATGGCTGTGAATTGTCTGTTAACAGAACACGTAACACGAGATTTGTACTAGGTGAGCTTAAAACCTAGTGTCCAGACAGTGGTCTACAGCAAATACCTAGAAAAGCATAGGAACAGGACAAGCCTATATTGGTGCTTCTGCAGTTGACTTTTCTACTCTTCAGCAATTTCAGTCGGACGCCATAGGAGTATCGCATAATATCCTGTGATGGATTTTTCTTCTATGATTTTTTTCCCGTTTCTTCAGATTCAATGTAAACTTTTGCAGTTCACAGTATCCAGTAGTGAGTTCTACAGCTTTACTTTCTGTGAAATATGATTACGTTTGTTTTTTAAACTTGCCACCCAGCTTATATACTGGGAAAAACATTGAGCAGCTATTCACTTTTCATCTTCAGTCATACATGATTTCAAAGTCTTCTGTCACATGTTATCTCCATAGAAGCTGAACACTTCTAATGAGTTTGACCATTTTTGTGTATGGTGCTCTCTTTATACCTCTGATCTCTGTGGTCACCCTCCTCTGTACCTTTATCCAAATTCCATACTTTCTTTTCGAGATCTGTAGAGGCAGACTAGTGGTGGACGGTGTTACCATCTCAGCAGTAAGCTTGTTCCAGACTTTCAAGTAAGAAATTGAGTGACGTGATGTGCATGTTTTAGTCAGGCTGGTACAGACACGGTAAAAGAGTGGAAACTAGGATCTTGAACAAACAGTATGCAAGTAGCTGAAAAATTCAGGAAAAAAATAACCTGAAGAGAAGAAGGGGTTAAACTTAATAGATTTTCAGATGCCTGAGGGTCAGTCCTACCTCCAAATCCTCAGTTGATAGAAATACCTGTCAACTTTCTATTACAAATGAGTTCTTAATTTAAAAACACTGCAGTTGTGAAGTATGGGCAATGACAGTGATAAGGAGAGCTGTAGTACCTGGCTATTTTTAAATTACTGTCCCAACAATATTTTTTTCTTTTCAGCATAATCAACAAAATGTTCTTAGTGGACACAATCAACAGTCTTCTCTTGCCAGTCAGTCACAGAACACAGTCTCGGCACCTTTGTATAACACTATGGTGATTTCTCAGCCAACAACAGGAAATGTGGTCCAGGTTCCTTCTAGCTTACCACAGAACAATAACCAGAACGCTGCTGCAGTAACCACTTTTACACAGGATAGACAAATCAGGTAAATCTTCAAGACCAATATTCAGATGACTCGCTATGATGAGCTTACATAGCTTGTACCTCATGTACAAAAGGAACTAAAGTAGCATTAAAAAAATCACGTGGTTTCTTATTTTAACTATATATGGATACAACTGTTAAACTGAACTTTGCCCAAAATAATATGTTTGCAGGCATATCAAAACCCATGTTTTTCTAGCAAAGTATGAACCTGACAAATCTGCATTTCTCAAGTGCACATGGTGCTTGATTTTTTTTTTTTCCTAAAGGGACTCCAAATGTCTTTTTCCATTAACAGATTTTCTCAAGGTCAGCAACTTGTAACAAAACTTGTCACAGCCCCAGTAGCATGTGGAGCGGTAATGGTACCAAGTACTATGTTTATGGGACAGGTGGTGACAGCTTATCCCACTTTTGCTGCCCAACAGCAGCAGCCACAGACTTTGTCAGTAACGCAACCGCAACAGCAGCAGCAGCAGCAGCAAAGTCAGCAAGACCAGCAGCAGCAGCTCACCACAGTTCAGCAACCAGCTCAGCCACAGCTGACCCAGCACCCCCAACAGTTCCTACAGGTAATGCAGCATTCTCTACAAATTTTTCCAAGTCCTGACACTTTCAGCATTGCTAGCTTATCCTAGGGGTGCTTTATCTGAAAACAGAGTGCTTAAAATAACCTGTGAAGCAGCCTGATGCATGAGATAAGTTTATTTTATAGATGTTCTCTAAAATCTTGCTACTTAAAGGAGAGACTGTAAACTGAATTACTTACAGTCTTTCCTGTAATTTCACTCTATGCTTGGTCCTGTTTTATATCTTCTTCCCTTTGAACTGCTGCTCGCTCTTTGCATTCACATAATAATGCAAGAAGGTGTGAGAGATGATCTCAAACAGAATTGGTTGCTCTGGAAAGCCGCGTGCAGCCCAAAGCAAGACATGGCCCTGTAACATGAGGCATGAACATTTGTCTAGGCTACAGGGGAGGCTGAGCAGCAAGTAACCTTGTAAGCAGAGAGTAGAGAAGAATCTTGGTTTAGTGTAGAAAGAAGAGAGATTGGATCAAAAGAGAAGGAAGGCAAAACCCGAGAGGGTTAGAGACAGATAAGGGATGCCTCCGAAAAGAAAAGAACCAGAACGTAGAAAGAATTTATATGGAAATCTGTTACCATTTGTTAATTCCAATTAATTGCTGGCACACAGCTCACCTAGCAGGTGATGTTGGGGCAGGAGATGTAGTAGTAGCTAGAACACCAGAGAGGAAGTGACTCCAAGAAGGCATGGGTTAAAAGATCTTAATTTGGCCTCTAATGTTGCCTTCTCCACAGACAGACAAAGTCAATGTAACTATCACGATGTAGTTTGTGCACATTCTTAATATTCTTTAACTACTCTGGGAATGTAATTTTTTTTTTTCACTCTTTAAGAGCATGCATAATTAAATCCTTATTTTGCAAGTATTTCTTCTTTCTTACTATGTGTGGTCTCCCATTTGCACTAAATGAGGGATTCTGTGCAGAGGTGGAATATATACAAATGCAGTAAGTAATTGGAGGCTTAAAACCTATGTTTGTATGCACAAGGAATGGATATGGTTCTGTTTAGGGCTGAGTAAAATTTTCTTTCACTAGGTCATTGACAGAAAATATTGACTTGTTGAAAAAGTCTTTCATGGAATCGTACCAATTTCAGTCACACATCAGGCAAAGGCTTTTCAGCTGCAAGTTGGCTCTCAAAAAGAGAGCTGAAGAATACCTAGTGATTTGAATTTCAGCACTCATTTATGTAGTGGGAGACTCTTGAACTGAATCAAACCAGAGCGCAGATTTGAACGTGTTCTCTGACAACTCAGATAAATACTGTAACAACAATGCTGTTTCGCAGGTTGGTAGTGTCTGTAGCTCTGTTTGAGTTAAAAGGTTTGTACAATTTTGACTTAATTTTGGTGAAAACCAGAATATTTGTGAAGGATTAAGATCTCCAAAGGTCTGTTCCTGTCCTAGAATTTCTTTCTAGGCAAAAGTTTATTAAAGTGCTAGAATTTGAAGTGAAGCAAATGCTCTTTAAAAATGGAGAGAAGGAGCAGTGCTTTTCCTGCCTCTGCTCACTGGGGCTTCCTACACTCTTGATTCTGTGGGTGTGGCAGGCAATGTACTTTATTTTCTGCTGCAGAATGTGTTTCTGGATTGAGATGTCCAAGTGCATTTGTACCAATCCTTCATGGTTTTTCTTGGGTAACCATCATCTTTTGGTTCTAAGAAAATTAACACCGAGTACTATTTCCAGTAGTAATCAATCCCCTTCAAAGGGGATGTTTGGGCCTGCAAATGCGGCAGTTTCTTTGACTGTTCATTTTGGCTGTGGGGGATACGTGTGATCTGTGCCAAGTCATGCACTGTTTTTTCATTTGACTGCAATGACAGCCACCTGCACTTGTTAGTCCTTAAGTCCTGTTATGCTCTTGTGGTTTGAAATGGAGACAAATTGCCATGCATTCCTACCCATTGTCACTGGAAATTACAAAAACCAGTTACAGCTGCTTTATTAATTGGTCAGATGCTCTAATTAACTTTATTAGTATAAACTAATCTTTGCATTGTTTGCTGAGCTTAAATGACCAAATCAGAAGTTTATTGTGATTGAGTCCTTGTGAAAACTTAAAGAGCAGCAAGGCCTGTGTTTCTCAGTGCAGCAGGAAAAATAATCATTTCCTATGTGCATGTTTTAGACATCCAGGTTACTTCATGGAAATCAGTCAGCTCAGCTTATCCTCTCTGCTGCTTTCCCACTGCAACAAAGCACTTTTACACAGTCCCACCACCAGCAGCATCAGTCTCAGCAGCAGCAGCAACTTTCGCGACACAGAACTGACAAGATGACTGATCCTTCCAAAGTTCAGCCACAATAGTGTGGAGCTCTGCCTCTTTTTGAAGCAAACTATACCAGGAGGGGGCTGCTCTACAAGCAGTTGCACTGAGGCTACAGAGGTAGCAGTATGAAGGCTTTCTAACACCGCAGTGTTGAGATCTACTCCTAACTTCTGGAATCTGTTAAGAAAAGCCACAAGATGATGATGGGGAGATGGCCAGCGTTGATAGTTGCCCCAGTTCCTGTGTTCTAAAGGATATGCTGCCATGTGTTAATTTGTCCAGGGGAAATCTCAAAACGTGACTGAAATGAGAGGGATGCTGAAAATACTGGTATTTTTATCAATCCTGTACATTTTTAAAGTATTAAAATGGACATGGAGCAATTGTTTGAATTAGCAGAAAAAAATGCCAGGAATATAGTCCAAAAAACATCTAATTTTTTTCAGATTATTATGGGACAGTAAATATTTTTAAAATGTTGTGTGAAATCCAGTTCTCTGTTGTACAGATGCTGTAAAATATTGTGTATATGTCTGCATAAAAGGAGAAAGAGCAAAATATTTTATATGATGCATGAAAATGTAATCTGTTATTTGTAGGTTTGAACATGTTTCCCTAAATTCTCATGCCATACTCAGACTAATGTTTTCCTCTGTTCTACCCTTCTGTTTACAACATGATGCATCATTATTTTCACCCTTAATGTGGGCACAAGTCTCTTGTTTGTGCTTTGTCTGTGATGTCAGGGTTTGTTTGGTGAGATATATAGTGTGTTGGTTAGTTGACTTCTCGAGGTTAAATTATTGATGAAGCTGTTTGAACTGGTGATCATGCATCAGGGTTCAGGACATTCAGATTCATGAATATCATCCATCATTTCATAATTAATTAATCGTTTTATTTGAAAAATAGGAATTTGCACTGCTTTCTTGTGGATGGTTTGGAATTTTATTCCCCAAAGCTATCTTTTGATATAGTTCATAGTTGGAAATATTTATGTAAAAGGTTTAAAAAGACAGTAATTTTCAAGAATGTTTCAGTTATAGGAGTAATTTGCACAAAAATATATTTACATTTAATAACTTTTGGGCACTTTTTAACCACTTTCTCTGTGGTGAGAATTGTAACTTGTTAAAATATGTTGGAATCTTTTTATTCTCCTTCAAAAATTAGTCAGAATTATTAGTCAGAACTAATTCAGGGTCATTTTAACAACAACAACAAAACCCATAGTGCCTTGATTTTAATTCAGGTGATAATGTTGAACATCTTGAATTACAACGTCTTGAATCTGTAACCATTTTCAATTTTGAAGTCTTAGTACATTGTCAACCAAAATGGTGTATCTATTTCATAGCTACTTCTGTATTGTGTTGATTTTAATAATGGTCTGAGTCGAAAACATCAGCATTTTTGAGTGGTACCTCCCCTTCAAACACTAGCCAGAAACAGAGGAGTCTCTAAAATCTCAGACCTTGAAGGTAATACTCTTAAAAGATGAAAAAAAATCTAAAAGTATAGATTACTCCTTTTGCAGGAGGAGGAATAGTAAGCTGATTTTTTTGTGGTTTGGTTTTTTTTAAATCATTTTCATAATGTTTGAAGTGTGTGTTGGGGGAGATTATGATTGCATTTAACACTACCAGGCTATTGATTTAAGAGATATCACTGAACTAAGACTTCAGAAGGCAACTTTACTTCATAAAGAAAATAAAAAGTTCCAACAGATCTGATGCGCTATTTTAAGTAAACGTTCAGTAGGTTTTTATGGTACTAGTTTGTGGAAACCAGAACTTCAGAGGAAAATGAATAAATGCTGTTAGATCTGCTAATTAAAAACAAAAACAGTAAAAGCAGTTAAAATTAGTATGAGGGAGAGAAAGCTGGATGAATCTTGAATATCGAGGAGGAGTTGAATGAATGTAACCAAATGGTGATGGACTATTTTGTACTATGAAACAGTTTGATTGTATCACTGGATGAACCAAACCCACAGGAAGGTAATACCAGTTTAGCCAAGCGTTTGATACAGTTGGTTGCATTTTGAGGCTGGCCTTTGCCTCTGCACCTGTCCCACCATTAGATCTCTGTTGTTCCCAGTTATAAAGCAGGAGTTGGGCACCAAAAAGCACAGTAGTGAACAAGGAAGGAGAGTGTGAGAAACACAGTACCAAAGAGAATCAGATTGCTTCCTGCTCCGAGAAGCCTCTTGCAACCTGGAGCAAGGAACAGATGCCAATACCAAACATAGCAAAGGAACACTTCCCCTTCCCTGAAGGGATTTCTGGCATTCTCTGGGCTGGACTAACTGTCAGAAACCTGTTTCTGTAAAGTTCTAGGTAAAGAAATTCTGCCTTGCTCTACAATCCCTACCACACCATGCCACCTGTTTCTAAATTAAGCTGCGTTGACTAGAGGCCTGTGCTATCAGTACTTTTGCTTAATGGAAAATAGGTTAGATTAAAAAAAATTTAACCAATTACAATAATAAGATAGCACTAAAAAAGAAAACTGGGAGAGCTTTAACAGTGCTGTTAGAACTATTGAATAGTGGTAAAATAGGTTTATTAAGCTATTATACTGAGAATTACAGAAAATAGAGATACCAGCCAGACAGTTAATGATACAGCTTTTTATATAAAAGCTTCATTTAAACTTCTCTTCCCATTTCCCCCTTCCCAGATACTCTGGTGTGCTGCTATAGGTCTGTCGGTAAAAAGGCTAAATGAGGTGAGAGAGAAATTAGATGATGACAATAGCATGGCTGCTGAAAGAGAACTGTAGAAACACTTTGATCAAGAAGCTTTTTATAACCTCAGAGAGAGGTCATTCAATTACAGAACTACCAGCTAGTAGAGAAAGTGTAGAAGATGGGGAAATTCAAAGAAACTGGAAAAACACAGCACGCGTTTGAAAAATTCCTGCCACAACTTAAGCAAACTTTTTACAAAAGCGAGTATGCAGAACTTGGTCCAGATGCTGTGTGAGGATGCAGATGCTTTGTTTCACAGCTAGTGACAAAAAAAGTGTATTTTTAAAGGGCCTGCAGCTTCCCCTGTTGCTGAATCAATTGCTGAACTGTTCTTGAGTGTTAGTGGGAAGAGGACCAGGCTATTGCCTCTTTCTTCATCAGCCTTTTGCTTCTGCCCAACTCATTTACTACAGTCATAGACTTATTTGCAACACCCCTAATAAACAGCATGGTAGCAAATGCTGTGATGCTGCAGGTTCTGGAGCGTAAATGTTACAGAATGACTCTGACAGAAGGGAAGGAGTCTGTTAAGGAGAGGATTGTATTTATGAAGAAATGGGCTGGTGCTACATAATGGAGTGAAAGAGATGGCATCGTTGCATGGAGTTTAGGAGACAGACGTTGTTTGCCTGCGATGGGTGAGGATTTGAAGAAAAGCTTCTAAGATAACTTCAGAGAAAAAGAATATAGCTATTTTTATATTATATTTAATATATATTATATTTGTATATAAATATGAAAGGATTCTAGTAGGAGCTCTCCATATGCCTTCCATTTCATCTAGAAGGTTTACCTTCTGCACTACGGTTCCAGTGTGTCACCACCTTCTGTGGGCATCTTGCCCACTGCCAAACACCAAAATAAGCAACCCGGTATCCTTACAAGAGATAGGTTTCATTTCAGCTTTATGTAAAAATGAATAAAATGAAGCTCTATCGGGCAGTTTTTCACAGAAAAAGAAATTCTCTTAAGACTCAAATAGCACTTTCTCTTTTTTTTTTTTTTCAAGTAATAGCAAGCACTTTACTGAAAAGACTATTTGAAAAACAGCTGATTCTTTAGTCAGTGAAACTGTTAAAAAGTGGGGGGCATTGAGGAATAACATGCATAAAACTGTCAAGAGAGACATTTCTGGAAAATGTTTCTTTAATATGGTGATCCTTTGAGGCTCAAAGTGCAAGATTAAAAAGGCTTCTAAAACCGGTTGGCTTTGTGTTGTATATGGCCAGAGGAAGGGATGAATGATGATCACTTCCTTGGAAGGAGACTTTTTAAGTTGCACAGTTGCCTATGAGAGAGAATCATCTGGAGGCTCATTTGCCTGCTCAGTAATTCTAAGTGTCCCTTAGGATTATAATTTGTGTGAAAATGTTCTGAAGGTTTAAAGATGTGGCCTTTTTCAAATGCTGAAGTCGAGTTAAGAACCATTTCTATTTTCAGAGATTTAACCCAGGTATTGTTATGAGTGTTCTAAATGTTGTGGCATCAGGCGATGTAAAGCATGTCAGATTCATAAGTTTCTCTATTTGAAATCGTTATTAAAGTTAGATGTACAGTCAGAGGGCTGGAAAATGGTTATTTTGATTAAAAGGGAAAAGAGACTAGTTTTAATAATTAACCTTTTATTTTTTTACTTATCCCTGGTGGAAAAAAGTTGAAGAGAATTAAGTGAATTTGGATTAAAAAAAAAACATATTTAAACAAATCATAGTAGATGAGACAACTGTGAGAGAACATTTGAAATTATCTTGGTTGTCTGTGAGACTGGATAGTTGCTTTTTCACTATCATGATTTTTAACACTACATTCCTTGTCTGTCTTTTTTTTTTTTTAAACAGGTGATTTTAAGCTCTGCTATGCTTCATGCTTATGTCATCTGCATGAATTCTGCCAGCATGATATGCTATATTTAAAGAAATTGTACCTAAATAAAAAGGAGGGGGGAAGGGAACCCACAAAGCAAAACACTGTGTCTGAACAAAATACTGTATGGCCTAATATAGAGACCCCAGCTGAGACTGAGAGATGCTGCATTAATAGACAATCAATGGGTAATTATTTATGAAACACTTCTGGGAATGGTCTTAAAGATGTTACTGCTTTGAAAGCAGTTGGTGAGTTGTCTTTCTTTTTTTAACAAGAAAGGTAAAAATTATTTATTTTCAAATATATCAGATTGAATTTTGAGTTTTTAAGCAGTGTTGATTTCACAGTGTCTTGGGTTTCAGTTTTGTATTTTTTTAACTGGCATTAGATATGTATACGTAAAAGAAAAAAAAAAAAAACAGAAAAACCCTAGTGCCGCTCATATTGACGTCAGGAAATGTAGATGCAGTTCCCTGGTGTTCATGTGACCATTACTAACTGTCAATTTTTTAACTGAATAAATGTAACTCATTTAAAATTTTGCTTTTTGTAGCTTCTAAGGTTCTAGAAGTTTGGGGTTTTTTTCCCTGAGTTGCTTGATGTCAGTTTTATCCAAGTTCCACAGTGGAGCGTGCTCTTACCCTTCCCACAACTGTAAGAAAGGCACTCTCTCTCCCCCACCCGCAGAACCGACTCGTGAGAAGTTGCTTGATGTCAATTTTATCTTCTCTTCACTACCCAGACAAATGACTTGTGAGATTTCAGTAAAAATGCATACTGTGTTTTTTTTTTTTTGTCTTCTCTCTGTATCTCTTTATAAACGGATGCCCCACTCAAAAGGCTAGAGACCTTTGATTTGTGTATTTACATTACTGCCTGGGAGTTTGCTCACACAGCACTTGTTCGAACGTGTACCACTTACTTACACCTGCTGTTGTGCTTTTGTGTGTACAGCCCCTCTTCTCTCCAAAGAATGGAGCAGCATGGCAGGGTGTGCATACCTGCGGGGGGGCAGGGGTTGTCGAGCGTAGCCCTTCCCTCACTTTCTGGCAGGGGCAAAACACCCTTCTTTAATTCTTTCAACTCCCCTCCCTGGGTGTTTCTGCTGCTGGTTTAGTGGGCAGGGTGGTCGCAGTCTTTTCCAACCTTAATGATTCTGTGATTCTACGAATGCTCAAAGGACAGTGTTTTTTAAAGGAAGGGAGATGATCTGAAGTGGTGGCTATGCCGCTGAAAAAGGAAGAAGAGGCTTGCATTTAGCTGGCAGCACAACTCGCTTAGCAGTAACTGCGTGCTCTTTGAAGAGCTGCGTGATAACGACATGTACCTGTCAGGGTGGTCTGATCCTTTGTCCCTGATCACAGTGTGAACACTAATAAGAATCTAATAATTTGA